TATTCAAATTTGTAAGGTTTGATGTAAAATAGACACCTTTTTCTGCAAGACAATTAGACGTTAATTTTTTATTATAAAAAAATATATTTAACAAATGTAAATACCCCTTACCTTTATACATGAGTTTATGAAACTTGTTAATAATCCCGATTTCACTGAAGTAATCATCATTTACTTTAAAATATTTCAGTAGAAATGTCCACAATTTCGAATTTGAGTACTCTTGTACTAGATAAACAAGTGAAATGTCTCGATGATTTAACGTTGATGATTCATTGATGGATAATAAATGCTTTAAATAATCTATCAAAAATTTTGCCAAATTATCATTGGCGTCAAAAAATGATTTACATCTTTCAACTTCAATTCTTGCACTATAATGGTTTCCTAATGCATAGTATATTAATCCCTTAAAGAAATATGCAAAGCTATTCGAAGAAATTAAATGTATGGATTTATTGATATCTAATAAAGCCTTATTATATTCTTGAAGTTCATAGTGAATGATAGCTTTGTTAATCAAAATATGAGAGTTCTCGGGATCAATATTATACGCTCTAGTGAAATGGTATATGGAATCCTTATACCTTCCTAAATAATTAAGGATTTCTCCATAGTAACATAATATTAATGAATCATCCTGATTAATTTCCAGTATCTTGTCCAACATCTCTAATGCTTCTAAATACCTTTCTTGAATTTTATAAATATTTGCACAACACTTCAAGCATAAATAATGCTTTGGTTCATTCATTAATGCAATCTTATAATTCTTTAAAGCTTCATCATAATAGTAATGGTTCTTATATCTTCCTGCTTCAAAATAATAACTGGTACCAAGCAATATATTCAGATTATTTGTTTTAATCTTATAATCTTTCGCAATGTTTAATTTTAGTATTGCATTGATATATTCCCTTTGGCTGAAAAGAATTTCTCCACAAATGTAATAAGCAATTGGGCTTTTTTTCTTTAACTCAATGGCTTCATCTAAATATGAATTTGCTTGCTCGTATTTTTTAAGACACCTATACGCGTAAGCAATAACACACCTCATGGTATAACTTTTAGGAAAAACCTTTAAATAATCCCGACACTTTACTACAGCTCTCTCATAATTCTTGTCATCCAATTCTTTTATAACGTTCTTGTATTCTGGATATTGTTTTTTTGAATTGGTAATTTGAAATATTGATTGGAATCTATTCGTTCTCATTTTGAACTCTTTAATAAACTTTTTCTTAATTATCATATAATCAGCTTCAGAATCATCGGACTCACTCTCATAATGATCATTCGCTGCCTGATCTATTTGATCCGGATCATCTGCTTCATACGAGTGTAGAATCCGTCCAGCATCAAAAAGATAAGAATATAAGTTTTTGAAAATGGTGCTTTGTGATAAAGATCTCACATCATAATAATCAATACTTTCTCTACATATTGGACATTCTCTCTGTTTCAGCCTTTTTAAATTATTTAATGAAATCACATGTTGACATTTCAAAATACATAATTGATCCTCTGGTTCATGACTGATAGGACAAGTCATTTCATCCGCGATAATATCTAAAATGTTACAGGAATTTAATGTTTGTTCTTTTTTAAAGTTTATGTTTTGATATAAATTTTTTCCCTTTCCCTTTCCAATCTTATCATTCAATAACTTGAAATCCTCATGACATTTTTCTTTAACGAATGATAATAAACATTGAAATTTTTCCGAAGATTCTGTAGAATTATTTTCATATAAGTTTTGAGCATATTGATTGAAATCAAGTTCCATCATTGAGAAAGATTCTTCATTAATATTTTGCAAGTGTAACAACACCTCAATTGCTTTAAATTGAATGAAACTACTTGGAGCTTTGTTTAGTGATTCAATTGCCAAATAATAACAAAAACCGTGTATAACCGGTTGAGAAGATTTTTGAATGAGATTTTGTGCGAGATCCAACATTCCAAACCATAACATATCTGGTAATGCGAGTGGTTCATTTCCGACCATGTCACTTATAAAACCTCCAGTGTTTTTTAAACTCCTGGCAAGCTTATTTAATATTTCATCGAATTTATTTTGAGAATTTAACATGGCTTTATCAACATTATCATTCCATTCCCTCTCCGAAAAACTCCAAAGATATTCCATTAAAATCCTTTCTCCAAATTTTTTATTAATAATCTTTTCATTACTTTCTGACCAATTAAAAAGGTTATATTGAATAATCGACATGATTCTCCAATCCAAATAATAAGGCGCTATCGGATATTTGAAACTTAAACCTTGACGCAATTGAACAAACGTTGCACAATTATCAAATGGTATGATAACCGCAGGTGCTAAGATTGACAAAAGTCCAGGTGTAATGTTTAAAGCGGACTTTAATAATTCTTTGGTTCTTCTTAAAACTTCTTGAAACCAAGTTTCGTCATCACGAAGACTATGTAGTGTATCCCGCAAGTGGATTAATAAAAAGTCAATATTATAATTTC